TAATTTTAACCTCCTTGTTTGATTAACTATTTTTTAATTCTTATATGGATATTAGAGGTTAAACTGCATGCTGATGACCTTTACATATCCATATTTGCATACTCTTTACTAGAAAGAGTTGTAGTAAAAATATTGTTGACCGAAGGCATAAGTAGGTTTGGATTTCAAATGGCGGCGTCATCTTGTGAAGGCGATCATGATTATATTATAAAAGTAGTTACAAAGAAGAGATTCTCTCTTCTTTCCCCTTTTCTCCCCCTTCTCTCTTGCTTCTACCTCCCTTCTCCAGTGCTGCGTTTGTTTTGATCGGAAGTCTTTGAGCTTTTGAGGTTTTGATGGTTGAGCCCCTGGGCTCCCCGGCTGCTCAAGCATGCTAGAGCTGGCATGTGCTCCCTCCTTCGATGACCCTTCGGGGTCTGTCGGTTTCTAGGTCTCTTTTCGGTGACCCCTTTTAGTTTTTTTGTTTTATGGTTGTTTGTGTTGTTTTGTGTTATTGTACAGCTTGTTTTTACAATTTTGGCGACCCTCAACTCTTATCTGGGTAGGGGCTCATTGGTTGTCCAGATCTAGCCACCGTCAGTCTCGATCCCTGCCGCGACGTCTTGGAGATTTCACGCCATCCTCTTCTGAGTAGATTAAAGGGTGTCCCATAGCTGGATCGGTCAACCACAGGTTGCTCGAGTGTCTTCACCTCCCTTTCTCCTCAGCATCGGGTCTACTCTGCCTTGTTTCTCCAGTTTGTTCTTTCTTTGTCTGATACTCTTATCCCTTTGGATAAGACCTTGACGTAGATGTCGTATGGCAGTTCTTAATGCATTGCTTCCCTTGCGTTAAAAAAAAAAAAAGTAGTTACAAAGAAATTGTTCTCTATCAAAAGCTGTATAACAAAATAAAAGGTCAAAAATGATATGTAGAATATTGTGTTTGAATGCTTCTGCGTTATTATTTTGCCAAAAAAATATAAATTTTGGGTATTTTATTGGCTTAATTCAATTTTTAGTCTATTAACTATCACCTTGATTTCATTTTAGTCTATAAACTATGTTTTATTTCTAAGTAGTCTATTAACTTTCAGATTCATTTCAATTTCGTCTACTTGGTCAAAGATAACGGAAAACTTTATATTCTCGTAGAGAACAATTAGTCCCTTAATTATATTTTTTTTACCTTTTAGTCCTCAAATTTAAATTTTTTTATAAAAATAGCTTATATACTTAAAATTATTACTTTTAGACTCTAATACTAGATTTTTATACTTAAAATTATTATTTCTAAGTGGTTTATTAACTTTCAGGCTCTGATACCAAATTAAAGAAATAGGAAAACCGATATAAAAATCTGGTATCAGAGCTTATAAATAATAATTTTAAGTAAAAAAGTTATTTTTATAACAAATATAAATTTAAGGACTAAAAGATAAAAAAAATATAGTCAGAGGACTAACTGTTCTCTATCAGAATAGGAAGTTTTCCGTTATCTTTGACCAAGTAGATGAAATTGAAATGAATCTGAAAATTAATAGACCACTTAGAAATAAAATATAGTTTCTAAATCAAAATGAGATTAAAATGAACTCAACGTGATAGTTAATAGATTAAGCCGTATTTTATTTGTTATTTGAGTTAATATTTATGGATATGTTATTTTTAAATATATTATTTATTTTTTATAATTTAAAAATAATATTTACAAATAATAGATGTATTCGTACCATATCTGATACTCCCCCTATCAATCTGACGTTCAAGAGGCTAGAGTCGTTTGCCAAACACCGGGCCGATGAGGCCCAACGTCTGGTGCAGAACGTTTGGGCCCAAGCGAAAACGGGAATGCCTATGAACTTGAGGGAGGTCCTGGGGGCCTTTTCGATGATGGCCCAATCTGCTGGCCTAGCAAATCCGTAACTCTAAACAACACACGCTGCTGCTCCTCCTCCGTCTCCTCCATCGGGTCGACATTCTTCCTCTCCTCCGGCCACATCTTCATCTTCTCTTCGTTAAATAAACTTAGATCTTGCTTTCTGGTGTCGGCCACTGCAAGATCCGTGAAGAGCCTTCTCCATCTTCGATCTGCTAAAGCAAGAGTAAGCTCCAATACTCCGATCACACAAATTTCTCTGTCTTTGTTCTACGTTCTATTTTCACTATGGTTCTTTCTTTGTCTGTGGATCATTTTTAGTTTTTTGAGTTTTTCTTTTATGGTTTCTTTCTTTTCTAGTTTTTTTATTTTCCCCTTTGTCGGTGAGCTTCTCCGTCTTCTATCTAAATTTTGTGACTTAAATTGAGTTTAATCTTTTGATGCTTGTGATTATTTTTGTTTGTTTCTGCGTTCATAAAGCGAGAATTTTCTGTTTTTTTATTATTAATTAATCTATAATTAATCTAATTTAAGCAGTTTATGGCTTGGTCAACGGTGCGAATGAAAACCCTGGTTTCTTATTATTTTCCTGCAATTGTTTTTATTTTCAATTCATGTCTCACAATGTTGGTTGATTTTAATTTTTTAATTTTTTAATTTTTTAATTATTTATTTTTTATTGAACATTACTGAAACCCTGACAAGTTTTTTATTTTTATTACCTATGTCCAAAGACAATCGTCAAAATTTGATAAGTTTAATTTAGATATATTCATAATCAAATTTTGATGTATTTGAAATTCGTTGATTATAGCAAATTGGTTGCTGTTAATTTGGATATATTTGTAATCAGAATTTGATAAATTCATGAAGATTGTTTTAGAGCAAATCTCATTATGCGGGTCTATGGTTTCAAATGTTGAAAATTTTTTAACAAGTTTCCTGTCAGTATTGTTTATTAACGTTTCTTTCCTTTTTGTTTTCTTGATTCAGAAAATGTTTAAAAAGAAGCTACCTGAAGATGTTGTTGTTGACATATTATCACGTCTCCCAGCAAACTCACTTGTGCGATTCAAAAGTGTGCACAAATCATGGTATGCTCTCATAGAAAGCCCTCACTTTGTCACAATGCAACTCCGTAACAACAATAGCATTCATTTTCTTGTCGGTAATCGGGTCCTTATCGATACTGATGACAGTGACACCATAAGAATATTATGGTCCCTACTTACATTTGATGATAAAATGTGGGAAATTTCTAACGGAGAGGATGTTTCTTTTTCTATGAAAAGTTTGGACTTGCCATTTAGTTGTCCTTATAATGGATGGAGTGATTTCTCAAATATTTGTGATGGTATTATATGTTTTTATGATTATCAAGATAGAGATGGTATTATGATCATGGCTAATCCAGGAATTGGGGAATTTAGGTTTCTTCCTGTATCATGTTTTCCTCTCCCTAATAGCGATGAATATGATCATTATCTCTGCCCACGTAAGACACATGTTGTGGGATTGGGCTTTGATTGCAGAACTAATGATTGCAAGGTTATTAGGATCTTGGAAATGGAGAGTCCTTATCTTTCTCCTGGTGAAGTACAGGCTGAGGTATATAGCTCAAGCACCAATATTTGGAGAGAAATTGAGTATACAGATTATTATATGATTCCTGAAGAAAATAGAAGGATGTCAACTTATTGGAATGGAGCTTATTATTGGCCTGCCACAAAACGCCAAGGTGGTTCTCGTGGAATTCTTTCTTTTGACTTTAGTGATGAGGTCTTTGAATTTAGAACAATTCCAGAACACTTACCTTGGTTTTATGATTTGATTGAGTTTAATGAGACACTAGCTTTCATTTCATATCCTCACCCAGAGCAAGAGATGGAGAAACGCTTTGACATTTGGGTGATGGGTGAATATGGTGCCAATGAGGTCTGGACAAAGCTGTTTTCTACCAAACCTGTACTTGAAGTGGACAGGGCTTTGGGATTTGGGATGAGTACTGAACTCTTTGTATTGTTATCAAGTGGGCTGATTGCATCTTACAATATTGTTACCAACGAAATGAAGACTCTATTGCCAATTGACGGTGAAGGTTTTGTGAATAATCACTCTATTGTGCTTTACAAGGGTAGTCTGGTATCAATCAATAGAGAAATTTTTCATGGTCGTTAAATGAGTATGTTTATTTTCCTTTTGAAGATTTTATGAATAATCTCATTTATTCTGTTAAGCTTTATGAACAATTTGTTCAACATTTAAGCTAATATAT